TTTTTTTCTCCAGCTATGCACAACCGTAGCCAGTCTCGGCGCAACTGAAACGTGTACGTTAAAATTAAAGATGGCAGGCTTGCGGCAAAAAGGTGTACACTAACGAGCACATTTGTTTGGACGAAAAAGGGCGATTAAAGAAATTGCCCTACTGCGGTGCATCTTAGCCCAACCCGTCGGAATTTAGCCAAGTATCAGGTGAGGTAGCTTTTTTTTTTTTTTTTAGACAGAATTTCCTCGCTGTTGCCCAGGCTGGAGTGCAATGGCGCGATCTCGCAGCTCACTAAAACCTCCACCCCAAGTTCTATGTAGTATGGATTTTACTACAATCAAACATTGTTTATTAATTTTTTTTTTTTTTTTTTTTTTGGCAACGCTTTGATAATGTGCCAAGAGAAACTAAAGTGACGTGTTCGACTGAAGGCCCCTTCTTATTTCTCCCCAGGGAATATTGCACAGGGTAACCTCTTGCTGAAAGAGTTTCGTCAAAGCGGGAAGCACTTTTCCTGGCTGCAGCTTTTCCATGATACGGGTGGCTCCAGCGATGTAATCAATCCCCTTGCAGACCACCGAACCGGAGAGTGCTATTTTTCGTGCCAGTTTTCCTTTCCCCCCACCGCGCAGTGTGAGGCCACGTCTGCGATGCAGCCAACGGATAGTTCAGTTTTATACCCACCTTAGTTGTCCCTACAGATGCAACGAGGAGACAGCTGCTTCATGAAACAGTGCCTTAGCGTAGGGCCATTCCCTATAGGTGAATGTGCACACATACACATGCAAATACACATGCGCATACACATATATACACAGACAGACACCCCCCAAAAATGAACGTAAACCTGAGGAGGCACATTAAGCCCATATGCCACATTAAGAATATTTTTTTCAGACGGGAGAAACTGTTGGGGGACAGAACATGCAGGGAAATTATACCCCTTGGAGATGGTCATGTATATAAGCAGATGCCGCTGCTGCATTGCTGGCTCCATTTTTACAAGGAGTCTTCTGTAGTTCCCATTCCAAAGAGTGAAGACATAAGTGTGTACCAAATGAGGAGGGACAGGGGAGGCACGGTGCGAAAGAAATTGAGCCGAGAGAAGAAGAAAACGCAGAAGAAGCAGAAGAAGGAAAAATCAGCCGATGTGCACAACTAGGGGATGCCGACAGAGGGGTGGCGTACCACATAGTTATGGGGGGGGAATAGCTAACGGATAACGGTGGAGTTATAACTAAACGGACGTGAGGCCGCCATATGGAATAGCACTGCTTTAAAATGGGTCTTCCCCCTTGTTTTTTGCCCCCCCTTTTTTTTTTTTTTTGGCACAAAACTGGGCTTCCACTCCATCGCAGGATGGGTTAATACGATTAAGAGGTTTACACATAGGTTCCCTTTCTTGGCACTATTCACCTGCGCTGTGCAGCTACGCACGTACACGTACGTACTTTCCCTGTTGTCCCAGCGATTTTTTTTTTTTTTTTTTTTTTATCGTACCAAATTAACTTCTCACCGAAAGAGACAGTTCACCCGTACTTGTGTGTACATAGGAATGGGTTAAAGCTACCATTTGAAGATTAACTTTTACGTCGCGTTGGAGAAGCCGAGCTGGCTGTTCAGAGTTGGTGTGTTTTGCGCAGGGGGCTTCCTCCACGAAGGTGTAAAATGAAAATGAGAGAAAAAAAACAAACAAACAAAAAGATGCAAAGATACCCAAAAGGGATGGAAGAGAAATTTTACGAAACAGTTTCCCCGCGCGGGCAACAGAGGGCAGCTGTGTGCGGCTCCGAATAGGCTGCCATCTGCGCAGCACAGGGCAGGTCACTTCAACGGGGTAAGGGAGCCCCCCCAGTGTGGAGCGGCATAATTGAGGAAGACATTCCCCCGAAAAGCAAACTGTGCCAGGGGTGTAGCGGCAGCAATAATTGTACTGCCTTAGTTTGACACATGGGGAAGGAAGCGAATGGCATTTCGGCGCGAAGACGAACCGATGGTATCATTCGGGGAATGGTGTGTGTGTAGATGTAGCGGTTTACTCATTCAAGCGAGGCATACAGCAGAGTGCCATCGTGTATGGATAAGAAAACCTCTACATAAAGTACCCAGGTAGATGCCATTGAGCAAAAAGTGGAAACGTCCCCAGAAAAAAAAAAACCCGACTAATTATTAACCGTTGTCTGCTTCTTACAATTGGGACAGAAATAAATGATGGTGGACCCTTCATCGGCACTCCTCGTCTGTATATTAATAAAATGCAAAAAGTCATTGCCACAATCGGTACACTTTTCATAGGTAATATTATAAGCTTGATTTTGATCTTCCTTGAATAGGGAAACGTTTTTCTCAAGGGAGGTGATTTTATTTTTCCAGTAACTTTTTTTGTTCTTATCAAATATGTACTTCTCCCTATACGAATTCAATTCAATGTAGTTTTCTTTTCCATTCCAGTGGTTATACATTTCGATGGTATCTATTACGGCTCCGCAATAAATACACTTGATGGCGTTCTCGTTGTCGAAATTGGCGTTCTCCATGGCACCAGTAAATGGGCCATAGGGGCTTCTTCCATTGAGGCAGTTACTCCTCTCCCTTGACTTGGACAGATTAAAACGTTTCATATACATATACATATAATCGTCGTAGTTATAGATGTAGCCACACTGCCTGCAATAATTCTGCTGCTCCTTTTGTATATTTTTCAGCATTAATGACTGGTGGGTAATTTCTGTGGCGTTTTTTGCCAATCGCTCAATGTCAAGAAATTTCTTGCCGGTCATTACTTGGCAGAGCTCGTCGTGCTCTATGCTTATTTTGTCCTCGTACGACTGGATGAAGTAGTTGAGGATCTCTTCGTTGCTGACTTCTTCATGCTGGAAGCGGACACTTTTTTTCTTTCTCCCTGTTAGGGGTTGCTTTGTTGGCGGCGGGTGCGTTATCAACTCCTCCTTGAGTCTTTTCTTCTCCTCCTTGAGTCTTCTCTTTTCTTCCTTTCTTCTCTGCCTCTCCTCCTGCTGATCGTGGCTACCCAGCTGGTGTTCTTCCCTTTTGACTTCACCCCACTCGTTGATCTCATAACTGGGGCCCTTTACGTCCATGCGGGGGTTCTCCCCCTCTGGGTCATCTTCTCTGTTTTTTTTTTTTTTTTTCTTCTTCTTCTTTTTATTTTCCTTCTCGCCGTGTTCGCTGACCTCATTGTTTTCGAAGAAGTTGTGTGCCTCGATTAGGGGCGAGAGAGAGTGCCCATTGCTGTCGTCTTCGCCGCCATGCTCGTAATGCTCATTATTATCCTCCTTGTGGGGTATTCCCCAGATCTCCTCCTCTTCTTCCACCAATTTTCCCTTCCGATGGGCTTTGTGCTTGCTGTGTTCCCTCTTCTCCGAAATCATTCTTTCCCTTTATCGGGTACTGAGTAGGGGCTGGAAAAATGGGTGTTTACGCGGGGTTGCGATTTTCATGCTTTGAGGGTTCTTCGAGGTGCTTGTTGCGTCGTCGATCCGGTGAGACAGGCCTATCAGCATGCGCACGCGTAGGTATGTATATGGACATGTCTTCACGGATGTAACTTTAGGCAAATATCTAACTATGCATCTTCAGCGAGTGGCCCCTTCCGTCTCTTTCTCTTCACCCATTCTTCTCGATCCCTTTTTCTGGTCTACAAAAGAAGAGGCCTCGTTTCGCAGGCACTTTCCATGTTTTAAGTCGTACGGGGGGGAAGAAACTTTGACAGGTGGCGAAGTGTACGTGGTGCGGAATGTACGTAGCTATGTCGTTATGTATTTATGTGGGGACGTATATATATATAGGTACTTGTACGATGATACCTGCCCCTCGCACTATTGTATACAGGAAGCGGCAAATGGGCTGTGACTCGATTTTGTAGGGGGCCGCTGCGCAGGTGGGGTAACGGGAAGCACTTTTTTCTCTCCCTCGTAGAATTAGCTGTTTTGAGAAGATTAACAAAATTGGGGAAACTGAAAAAATTGGAAAAACTGAAAGAACTGAAATAATTGGAAAAATTGAAAAAATTGGAAAAACTGAAGAAATTGGCCAAATTTAAAAAGGTTAACAGACTGACAGATTAACCAATTAGGGCAATTTTGACGAGGCGGGAAAAAAGAAATAAAATGACGCGGCGTGGCATATGGGCTATATATACTCGCAATCACGCCGCATATTTTTCATGTGAGCTTTGTCCCCCGCAGCAGCGGCTTATCCCTCAGCGCGCGAAACGCAGATTTAGCTGTCGGTGCGTGGGCACCCCAGACGAGCATTTTTTCACATGTCGCGTGGGTCGCCGCCCTGTCGCAAGTTTCTTTCGACGTTAGAGCGATTCGTTAAAATAGAAGATTTTTTTTGGGAGACGTGCCAATTTTTTGTTCCACCCGGGGAGTCTCCAACCGTTTCCCTCGCCGAAGGCTTCAGCGCTACGTAAATAACAATAACACGTGTATGCAGTGTTATAATAACGATGTGCCGCTAATCCGCTCAGTTGGACATATTGTGTTCGTATGTACGGATACCCGCGCGAGGGGGATTTTTTAATCGCCGCTGATTTGCGCTACGAAAGAAATAGGGGCTCACGCTTTGCCAACAAGTGCACCGTGGCAAAAAGGGACCACTCAAAATGGGGAAGTGGCGTAGCGTTGAAGAAGCCAAGGGGCTCACAACAGATTGACGATCTTCTCGCACAGCGGTTACGCTTGCCGAAGGTTGGCACAACTGCTTCGTTCCTCCTGCACTTGGAGGAAGACATTTATCATTTCGCAGCACGATCAATATCTCAGGAGGGACAAAAAAAAAAAAGAAAAGGAAAATACATTAACTCACCTGTACGATTATGTATGTCTATGTGCCTACTTACCCTGACGCATGACGCATATATCCTCACCCCTCCTCCACTGAAGAAGCCTCATTTCCGCTGACCAATTTACCCTCTAACAGCCTCTACCAAGTAATACAGGTATATATAGTTTCTATTGCATACCTCATAAAACTGCATCGCCCACTACGAAACGCATTTTGTGTGTGCAGAAGTGAGTCTATGTAGGACCCCTCACCCATCGTCCTGTCGCCTCCCCCCTTGACCTATTCTTCTGCAAGAACTCCAAACATATGAATGACCCAGGAAGCAACGTCAGTCATTTGGGCAGCATCAAAAATGACGGGTATGATGTCTTCGTTTTGCTCCTTACCTTTCTGTGTGGATTTGTAGTCGGCCTTCTGTCCAAATACGTCAATGGGATGAAGAAGAATGCCGTGCGGATAAGGGACGCGTGTGTGAACTTTGACTTGATATGCAGGAGTGACTGCAAAATGGTGTTCTGCGTCAGGACAGGTAGGTCCCTTCGTGTCTCCGGGGTGCTGGTAGCACTCGTGGTGCGGAGCGGGCACCCATTGGGCAGCTACTTAGGATGATAGAACACTCCCCCTGAGTAACACCCATTCTGCTTATGCCTATTTAGCTTATACCCATTCTGGTTATTCCATTTTGCTGCCCCCCTTCCTATGAATAGACATCAAAATGAACAAGGGGAAGATCTGCTCCCAATGTTGCCACGCCTGCTTAGCAATTTACGAGAAAATTCTGAAAAGAAGTAACAAACTGAAGGCCAGCGAAAGTGGGAAAGGCACTCTCACCTATTTCGACCTCTGGAAAAAGACGGGACAGAAAAAGATTGTCCTGAAGATATCGGTAATCCGAGGGGGAAGAGTGGCTCCTCCATTTAGCTCTGTTAAAAGGCCATTCCTTTAGCGTCTTACGCCTCCCCTGTGTGCTTACTTTTTCCACCATCACCCCAAACCCTCAGAGCTTGGACGAAATGTACGAAATTGAAAGAAAGGCCAAGATGGAAAACCTCATGACGTCCATAATCATCGACGCGGTAAGAGCAGCGTGTAGCATATTATATGCTCATACGTGACTGTGAATGGCGTGGAGTGAATGCATCTTTCCCATCTCTACCTTCTCCTCGTTTCCCCCTTTCGCCTCAGGGCCGGACGCAAATCGAGCCGAACACGGAAACGGTCATCGCTATCGAGCCGGGTATGAAAAAAAAAAAAGGAATTAAAGAAATAAACGAAATGAACGAAATAAACAGATCGTTCTTCCGCACGACAACGACGTGTGTCGTCGCGTGACAGGTCTTCCCGTTTTATCCTACTCTTTCCGCTTCACAGACAGTTTCTTCCCCTTTTTTTTTTTTTTTTTTCAGTGCCCGACGAAGTTGTTAACAAGATAACGGGGCAGCTGAAGCTGCTGTAACCAATTGCAACCACTGTGAATATTATGACGCACTGTGTTGTTGCGAATGGAGAATGTGCTTTGGGCGGACTAACGCATTTTGATCCGTCGCCAAACGGGTGGCAGCGACGGGTACCCGTTCATTAGCAGGTCGTTCGGGAGATCAGACGTTACATTTATATACACCCATACGTAAAGTGTGTTCATTTCACCAGCCACCCGGCTTCTATTTTTGTTGGCCCCTAAAGAGCAAATAGGGACTCTTTGGATCCTGCGAGCTGTTGGCATTGGTTAAGTTGAACGAAGAGTAGACGAAACAGTTAGTCAGGGGTGTTCCCCATATGTGTGGATGGAGAAGTTTGTGCATGGATAAGCGTGTGTAATTTTTTTTTTTTTTTTTTTTGGCTCAGTTCCCCCCTCAATCATTCAGACGCCTATAAGGCCCATGTGGAATGCTCCTTGTTACCCATTTCTGTATGAGTAATAAATCGGGGCGGCCAATCGATGAGATAATATATCTTTAATGTCGATGGGGGGCTCCTTATCATCCCGCGTTTGGTCTACTCCACTTTTGTCATTAACTTCGTCTTGCAGATGATCGCTCTGTTGAGTTGCATTCCCCCGGTTGACACGCGGGAGGAACGCACCATTCTTCGCATGGGGAGAAGAGTCCCCTTGCTTCTTGGCTGTAAGTATGTAAATGCTACCAGCATTTTTTATTAACTTAAAAATGACATTGAAATTATTTCTTTTTAAAATGTCTAAGGGGCACCTATTTTCATAATAGCCAAATTCCCAGGGAATTCTTTTATTAGGATATAAATTTAGTTTTTTCAGAATGTAGCGAATGATCTTATTGTAAATGATGCCTCTTTCGACTAAGTAAAACCTGCCATCAGGTTTCAACGCTTGGTGGATTTTCTCTAAGCTGTCGTCCACATGCTCCAGGGAACATAAGGTGAAAGACGAAATGACAGAATCGAAAACGTTTGGACGGAAGAGACTATTTTTTATGTCATCATTTATGATATATACAGGATAGGATGGTTTTATTTTTTCCAATTTTTTTTTCATTTCTTCACACATTTTTTCACTTTTTTCCACGCATACTAAGGCGTCCACTTTTTTTAAAAATGCGAAATTCCTTCCTGACCCTGCTCCTATTTCTAGGACAACTCCTTTCACTTTTCGAAAGTTCCTCTTTTTGTATCCGTTTATGGAGGTGACTCTTTCAATGAAATCATTTCTTTCGTCATAACTTTTGGCTAGCTCATCGAAGGTTTTAATTCGAAAACTTTCGCTGGGTTCTCCGAGTGTGTCGTCGTTTGCAGGTCTGTTCTTTTTGTAGATATAGAAGCAGCCCGCTATGACTCCCCCGTTGGCGGCGCTCACTCCGACGAGCAGCTAAAAAGGAAAAAAAAAAAAAAAAAAAAGATGGGAAAAAAACAGGATGGGGAAAAAAAAAAACACGGTGCACGAATGTTTCGAATTTTTCTCGTATGGTAGACTGCACATGGGATGTTCCTTTCGTGACTGGGACACTGCTCCTTGGGTAAATACGGAGGCAGACCTGCCCCCATGGTGGGCCACATCCTATGCGGACCCAGCTTAACCTTTTTAAAGGAAGAGAAGGTAAACATGACGTTCTTTTTCGACTTGGGACTAAACTGAGAATATAACGAATGGGTTAAAGGAACCCAGCGGGGGAAGCCAAATGGCGGGAAATAACATGCAACAGGTGTGCTACAGTGGACGCATTTTGCTTATCAGATGCGAGAAGTTGTGTCTCCACATGCCACTGCACTCAGGTGGGGGTGACGCGCCCACCATATGTACAATATATCAGTGGAGGTAATCTACGCGTGTTTATATGTTAAACCTTCTGACACTGTCCCTGGATTGAGGATACAGCCGGGTTGCCACGACGCGCACAACACGGGTCAGCGTTCCATACTCTGGCCTTTTTGCAACGCCTTTGCGGACCGCGGCGCCCTGTTTTAAATATGCTGTTTTTTCCGTAGCATTTTTCGCAATTTTTTTTTTTTTTTTCTCCGGCTTTAACCCGCATGTATTTCGGAATTTTCCGCATCGCTAACAGAACGCCGACCATTTTGAAGCTCCTTTTTTTTAGGCCCCCATTTATATGTATCTCAACCAGTTGACTGGTTTCACATCATCCGTTTTTTTAAAAGGCGGGAAAAATAACATACATTATATATCAAAATTGGAGAAGAAACGACATTGCCAAGAGTTAACCCAGGAGCATGGCACAATTTTACCCACGTTTCCAGGAAGGAGAAAAGAGAAGATTTATTTTTTACTTTCTCTGAAAAGAAGTTTTAAAAAAAACATCTGAAGACGGGAAAGTATCAGAAAAGAATGCCCATCATTGTGGAGATGCATAATAGAGGAAAAGAAAAAAAAAAAAAAATCACTAAGCAGTGAAGGAAATAGGGGCAAAGGAACACAACAAGGAGAGTGGACCCGTAGGAAAGCAGAAATTGCTAAGGGAAAACCAGTGAGGGTCAGATGAGTGATGCGAGACTGCCGAACGACCTGCGAAATGGGGAACATTCCAGGATATGTGGAAAAAGCCAGATGGACCTTATTGTGCGGAAAGAAATAGGAAAGTGGGTGCTGCTGCACAGGTTTATCCATAAGCATGATGGGCTCGCGGGCAAAAAAACACTTGTGAGGGAAAAAATGGCGAAGCAGCATGAGCCTCCAAGCGAGCACCCAATTGGTCAATCAGCTGATGAAGCAACTGAACAGCCAGATGATCAATCAGATGATCCACCAACTGATCAACTAGTTGACAAACCAACTGGCCAACCAGCTGATCAACCAACTGGTCACCGAAACGTGTTTAACCTCTTCTATCACCCGACGGGAACGCGCCTAATGCGCAGAGGATACTGGCAAGTCGTAGCACCAGAAGAAACGAGCCCTCCAAGTGCATTCACCTATACCCCCGTGGATCAAAAAACGTCTTGCACTGGACCCTCTGACGTATCCGTAGAAGAATGCTCATCAAAGGTTACAGAAAACGATGCGATACAAAAATTTCCTTCACAAAATAACCTATCGGAACAGCCTAAGTTTAAAGAAGATTCAAAGGAATCACTTTTTGATTCCCCAGCGGACACAAAGAAGGTCAAAAAGAAAGTAACAAAAAAAAACGGAATTAGCAAAGACGCAACGAAGGCTATTATATCAAGGTGTATCAACATAAAGAGTTACATTGACCAGCACAAAATGAGCTTCCAAAATATGTTAATCAATTTGTTCAATGAGTACACATTCCTGAAGAGGTACATGAGCAGCAACTACAACACATACCATAAGTTAAAATTCTTCCTTAGCTGCAACCATTATGTGAAGAAGTTACATGATGTTCTGTCCATTTTTGCTGATGTTGTAGAGGAGAGTGACGAATATTTAATGATAGAATTGTACAAGAAAATAAAACTTAACATGCGTCTACTGTACTATGTCGGGAGAGTCTTATCCAACTACTTCACCTGTATTGCTTATAAAAGAATGGCATACGTAATTATGATTTGTTTATCTCGAGTACACACCATTTTTAAATGTATGCTCGTATCGGAGCCGTTTAAGAGCGACGTTCTGGAACTGCTAAAGATGATTGAGTGTACGATCTAGTAGTGTGAAAATCGCGAAGCGCCTCATTTGGGGGTCCCTCCCCATATGTTTATTTGTGTTCCTCCAAATTGGGGCGTCATCTTAACAGTTAAGTTTGCTTCTTTTTAGCAGTTACGCAATTCTGTAGTTATGCTTCTTTTTTTTTCCGTATTTGGCTTACCCTTTTTTAGTACCATTTGTGCATGTCACCAAATGTACCCAAACAACGCTGATGGAAACATTTTTATTTTCGCGTTACCCCTAAAGAGAGGCCCGCAGTGCGTTGTGGCGCTAGTGTGTTAATTGGCCGATGTGGCAATTGGAGAATGTTGTTTCTTTAATCAACGCGGTAGCTACGCAGTAAGGACGACAATGATGCGAAGCAACAAAGGGTGGTATGCCAAGGGGAAACCCGTTGCTACACACACATAAAAGGAAAACTATGGTGTGCGTATTTCCGCACATGCAATGAAATAGTTCTCTTTATTTTTCTCCCACGTCTGTCCTCGCAAAAAGTTAGGCAAGTGAAATGAATAGTAATACGCACCGCCGACGCCGTAATTGGCAAAAGTTTGAAATGGATAAAACTGTTTCAGGATTTTTTTCGTTTTTTTTTTCCAGCTAGCCAAAATGTCGAACAATGTTATCAATACTTTATGAACGTTCATAATTTTTTTTTTCGCGGTAAACTTAAGTTGTGCGTGTGTGCTTTTTTTTTTTTTTTAGCTACTAGCCATTTTGTTGTTTTGCTGCGCTGTAGGATGTTATTTTGCTTTTTTTTTAAATTTATGTTACTTTATATTATCTTTGCCATTTTTATTTTCATCTTTGCACTTAACTTAAAAGACGATTTACTCACACCTTCTCCTTCGGAAAAGCAATCACGCAGAACAGTTCTCGTAATCGCGTCTACAAACAGCTTAACCATGATTTCTGAGTAAGCGCGGCGACGAAAAAGGGGGAAATTAAAACTACTCAGAAGGCGCACGAAGAGTGCGAACCTTTTTGACGTATTAATGCCACGCTTGTTTATTTCTTCCCTTAAAATTATTCTCTCTTTTTTTTTTCTTTGCAGTGAAGACTCACCTTTCCTAATTGAAAACTTGAGCAGTATAGCAAATCGTTTAAAGCAAATTCATTGAAGCGTTTTATTTGCACATTCGGGTAGCACACCACATTCGTCCCTTCCAGTCATCCATTCTATTTGCACGTTTCACTTTTTTCACGTAGGCATACTGGAGAGCGGAAACCCAAGGGTGAGCAACTTTTCAAAGCAGTTTTTTTTTTTACCTCCCCTCCAAAGCGCTGACAACGCCCACTCGCATCTTTATTTGTAGGTCGTCCACGATAAAAGGAAGAAGTACGTTGACGATGTCTTTGATTTAGCGCTTAGCAACTTGCGCTCAGGAAGGGGAAAAATACAAAAGTTGCAAAAAATAGACCTTAACGGAGTGTCAAACGAGATACAAAATCGTGAAAGTTACCTCGAAAGCGAATCATTAACCCTTTCGAACGGGTTCTCGTCAGACGTGGCAAATACCACACAGGTAAATGAACGACATGATCAGTGTATCTTTTCCGCCAAGGCGAATTACGATTCGAAAGATTCTGATGATGAAGAACATTTTGAGTGTTCCCCTCGATTTAGGAACGACGAAGAGATCAGACTTTTCAATGAGAATATTAAGAGGAAATTCTTTAATGATCTGTTCGACTATTACAAAATAATAAAATTAGAACATCTTGATGAGGTCTGCAATTGTAGACAATCAGCTTATACATGTGAGGTACGTTACCTGGGCAGACGCTCCGGCAGGAGGCGCCTAGCGACTGGGAGGGACTAATCCATTGTGCTGCATTCTTATGTACGTATTGCAGCCGTGCATGTAATATCTGTGATGCCGCTTGAACATGATGAAATTCTCCCAGAGGGTGCTTCAATAAGCAATTCCACGCGTTAATGTGTCGCCTTGAGGATAGACACATGGATGAAGAAACACACAAACTGCTCAAAACGTGGATCTTTTTTTTTTTTGCAGGATTGTGGACTAAACCAAGATCACAGTGGGTGTGAAAACTCTCCAAGGGGTACATCTCCAAGTAATTACTTAAAAATGTATACGCCGCTCATGTTTAAAAATGCTGCCTTTTTTTTTTTTCTCCATTATTTGTAAAAATATTTACCTCCCTCTGTACAATTTTTCCAAGCAGGTTTCGAGAAAAATGTGTTGGATAATTCCCCCGCCAGAGCAAAACATGTCGCACGAGGTCGGGGAGGTCAGATAAAGCAACTTAACCATAGTGTAGCGGGAAAAACGCAACACTCCCTCCTTAGCAGTGAAAAAAAATGTATGCAGAGAAGCGGTGTCTCTAAAAATGATGCTCATGGAAGGGTTACTCCACAGCCTGTCCTTTCAAATGGAATGATAAGAAAGAAGAAGGAAATATTAGAGAATGCTTTTACAGACTTGAGAGAGAAGCCCACTGCCAGTGAAGACAAACAATTCGCATCGTTCCTACCAAGTTGTGGAGGCATAGAAGGCAATTCAGAAGGAGGAGAAAGAAAAAGTACCCACAAAGGGAGTAATAAGCGTAATGTAGATACGAAAGAGGCGAAGAGGGGAAACAAAGGATTCGAAAGTTGTAACGATTTAGCGAATGGCAAGATTGAAGGAGATGCTTCTTTTCACCCTCCTGATGGTGATAAATCGAAATGCACAAATGGGGGAGACCTTACAAAATATACTTCGAAAATATGGTGTAGCAAAGAATCTACTAATGTGCCAAAGTTGGATTCTGGACTTGCGCTGACATTACCCAATAGAGGTGAGGACTTACCAGAAATGATCGATAAAAGAGGTGTTGCTAAGAATGGAAAAGTTGATAGGAAAAAGAAGGAAGGAAGAAGGATAAACCTAAATAAAAAGCGTGACCACTTAGAAAGAGATGCCAGTGAGTTCTCAAGAGACACACTTCCCGGAGAGGAGGAGAGTAGCCATTTGAGCCTTCAAATTGGTGGTGCTAGCATATTAGGTCATTCGAGCCTAAATGAAGAGAGAAAAAAGGGGAGCCTCCCATCGGACGAACCAAAATTAGAAAGTAATGAAACGAACACGTCTTTAAGGAGCGAGCTTAAGGACTCCAAAATGAGTAGGAAGCATATATGTAAAAGTTCAACAATTCTTTCGCCCAGAAAGCGGCTCAGTAAAAATCAAAAGAGTAGTGAAAAAATAGCGCACGGAATAGGAACGTCCGATTCGAGTAATGGACTAGAAAAACGGAGGATGTTTATCGAGCATTCGAGGAGGAAGACAGTGTACAATGGGGAGCCCAAGAAAAAGCGATTAAGGAAGAATGAAGAAAAACTGAAGAAATGTTCTATGGATTCTTTCGATAGGGGAAAAGGAAACAACTTCACGCGTGAAAAGGAAAAAGTGGATCGTGAAAAATGGGAAAATAAATCGAACAGTGGCAGATTCGAGGAAGACTCTTCAAAAGGGAACATTCTGGAGAGGAAGAAAAAAAAGGCGAAATTGCCGCTATCGAAAGGGAGTAAGCAGTTTGTATCTTGTGTGAACAGTAGAGGGAACAAAAAGAAGGCAGGGAAATATCAAGGGGGTAAGCTAAGCTCTGTGGAGTCCTTAAAATGTGACACGGACCAACGTAGTAGCCGTGCTGATTTGAGGCCAAATTTCGAGGAACATCACCGGCATGGTAGCAAAAAGAATGACGAGAAGGTACTAGAAGAGACACCTTTAGGGATGTTCAAGTTTTCCAAGAAACGCCTTCATTTTTGCAGCGAAGGAGATGAAGAGAAACGAATTTTATGCGAAAAGCATCGTTCCTATGAAAAAGTAGAGTCTGACCAAAAAGGTGAATATTTTTTTAGCGACAAATGCAGGGAGATCCATTCAAATATGGCAGACAAAAATTTGAAAAATCGTGTCCGTCCAGACATCATGTCTAAGAGTCTTCTTGGGGGAGGACAGGATAATCAGTACGCCGGAAGAGGAGAAGGTTCCACTGAGGAATATTCCTATGTAGCCATAGAACAAGTTTCTAAAAATGGAGCGCATAACTTCTACTTTGAAAAGAGCAGATACACCAGTTTAAGAGGGAAATATATTCGACGGAGCGGCCTAGGTGAGGGGTGGCAGACACACAGTGAAGCAGATTTGTCCGATTCGGTGAGATCTTCCCGCATTGGCTACTTCAGTGGGGGTGAGCAATACTCAGGTTGCAGTCACGTGGAAGGGCACTATGATGCTCGAAATGACGGCAAATACCGCTCTCAATTTTTCTACGAAATGCATGAAGGGGGAAATTTTGCAGGAGAGGTCGATTTCCCCAGGGAGGACTCTCTTCTGAAAAACGGCAACAGAAGCGGTAGCAAACGCGATAGCAGACGCGGTAGCAGACGCGGCCAGGATGACCTCTATTTAGCCTTTCAAGAATCAACGCCCAAGGGGGAGAAGTCGCTCCCAGATGAGTTGCTACAAAGTCAGCCGCCTCCTAGCACCGTGGAGAGCGAACATAGAGACGACGCACATTTGAGAAGACGCGAATACGTTCAGGGGCAGATTTGCAGAATATTGAAAAAGGAAAACTGGGACGGTGAAGCCGAAAGTTTGTTAAACCTTTTCTTCAGGTACGTGAAGGTAGAGGAAAGATGCGACAAAAATGGCCACACACTGATTAGGAAGAACATAGAAAGAGATAAAAAGGGAATTCGAAAGGGGGGAGGGGAAAAGGGAAACAGAACGGAGGTATGGAAACAGAAACAACAAAAGGCAGAGTTAGGAAGGGGGGAAGGCGTGGGTGTGGACAAATTGAACAAGGTCTATTTGGATGACGCCCCAAAGAGCCTGCCGCTGACCATGCTAATAGTAAGAAACTACGACGAGGGGCATCTGCATCATGGGGAGCAGCGGAAGAAGAGGAACGAAGAAGGGAGGGTGAATGAAAAGGTAAGCGTAAGATACAAAGTCGAGTTGACAGGGGTGAAAAATCCCATGGGGATGAAGGAAGCAGTCGAGAAGGAAAAAAAACTGTTTTCAAGAATAGAAAGAATATATGATTTTTGTGCTTCAGATGGAGAAGGGTGTGGGGAAGCCCGTCGAGAACGGCGTGACAATAACATGGGGGACAGCTTTATTCCATTTCCTAACATGGGGTGGAGTTGTTCCAAGGAAGGTTATCAAGATGAGGTGATAAGTGTTCACTCCGCCTGGGCTGAGGAAAGGAAACACGTCTTTTTCGATGATGAGGGGGAGAAACACATTAATGCAGACATGAGCCACATGAGCGGAAAAGGCCTCATGCCTGATGATGCCCTTTTAAGGGTTCCCAAAAAGGGGGGAATTAACAATAGTAAGAAGTTTGGAAAGACATCCCCTTTCTCCAAATGGAATGTTAATGTGTGTACCAAATTGATGAAGCAGCCTGGAGGAAAAAACGCTCTTGTGAAAAAGGGTTCTCCGAAGGGTGTATCTAGCCATTTGGACAAAAAGGCCTCTCTGAAATGTTTCTTTAGCAAAGCAGTACCTGTTGTAGGTGGAAAGCCCAAAGGAATCGCAACTCAAATTGGCACGTTTAAAAAGTCGTCCTTACCGAGAAAATCTGCATTGGAAGGAAGTTATCCAAAGAGCAAAGATGTTAAATGGGGAGGGGGGCATCATGTGACTAACTTTAAAGAGTATCTTACAGAAATGAGAAATAAACGGGGAGGTAACAAAACAAAGAAGCCTTCTCCAAAGGATGGAAAAGAAAGGAAGGACTCAAGAAACACCCAATGGGGTTCTCCTATATCAGGTTCTATTGGAAAAATCGTAGATGATAAGAACGACGAGGAGATTATTACAGACAATTTTTTTCCACCAACGGGGATAGAACCAAACGTGGTTAAGCGGGAAATCGGGAATCGTCCAAAAGGTGAACTGGATTCGTATAGGCAGTTAAAAAAATCTTCAGGAGATGTCTTTAAACGGGGAGGAAGTAAAAGAAAAGAACACTTCAATCCTGCAAGTCAGCCCCCGAGGGATGTGTTGGACCCACTGGGCAGTGCGCATAATGGTTCCCAAAAGTGTCGGCAGAACGCGGTGGAGAGTAAAGACAAAGTAGGATTTTATAAAGATGAAAATTTTACGGAGAAAAAAGAACATAAGGAAGGAGAAAACGAAGAAGGAATCTCTAACACGTTTGAAGAGCCATATGCGAGGAAGAACAATCGGGATGGTGACCACCCCTCTAGGAGCTTTAAGATGGATGGGAAAAACTGCAAAGCAATTGAGAATGACGCCAAAAGTCTGGATGAAGGAGGTTCATCGGGGAAACCTCCTCAAAGGGAAGGAGAACCGACCTCTAATAAAACGGAGGAAGGCACTAAAACGTTGCATCCAAAGGGGAGAAGTGAAAAAGGGTTAAGTTCGCCATCTAAGGATGGAAAAAGGAAAAAGGAAGAAAAAGGAAGCTATCACAGTAGGAGAAGTGATGGGGTGGTGGACAACTTTCACCCTAGCGTGATAGAACGATTTTACGACCTTTCCGAGCGTAGCAAGGTGGGAAAGAAGGAAGCGAAGGAAAGCCGTTTAGAAGAAGAAGTGGAGGAAAGAGATTTAGAGCAAGCGGATACGCTTAACAAGGAAGAAGGATGGCCTCAGAAATTAGTTAGGTCCATTCAGGTAGCATCCCCAAGAAGAAACCCTCTTAGACGCAAGGGTGCTCTCACAGGGGGGAAGAGCATATCACACTTTGTGAGCAAACATGGGAAGGAAAAGGAGCAGAATTGTGATTTGGACCCATCAGAAGAGAACAGAATTGCGAGGGGTAGAGACAAAGAGGCGAACACCGCCAAAGGGTTTAATAAGAAGAGCGAATTTTATCATTTTACCAATTTGGGGAAAAATGTGGAGGAAAATATTTCCCCCCTAATGGTGGCAGAAGAGGAGGGGGATCCTTTGAAGTCTCATCAAGGGAGGAGTCCCGTCTCAAGTGTGAGCAATAAAAATGAAATAAGGTTGACTCGGGCCACTCCCTCCAACGGAACGAGCCATATGTTTAATGCTCCTAGGGAGGAAGGTACTCACGAGGGGAATAACCCCAAGGGGACAACGAACCTGGTGGGACGCCGAATAAGCAGTCCTATCGCTCGAAGGGGAAAACCATTTCCCCCCGCAATGGGCTCATTTCCACACAAAATGACGCTGAGCGAAATGGACAAATCAGTTTTAAAAAATGAAAAAAGGATGACAAGAAATTCTAACTATGTCGATTTAAGGCATATGAAATGCTCCATGAGTACCCTCGAATTTTTTCTTGAAAAAAGATATCTGAAAAGAAATAGTCCAGGTGAAGGAAAGGATAGTACTGAAGGGCAGAAGAAGAAGGAAAAAAAGAAAAAAAAAAAAAAAGACATTTCACTTGTTTGCAACCAGAGCGAGGGGCAAGAGGTGTCAAAACGTTTTGCGATGAGTAAACGAGGAAATGCAAAAAAAATGTCAAACAGGAACATCGCAATTCCGAAGGGAGTACCAGAAACAGATCAGTTCCCAAATCTGAGTTGCACTGAGGGTGGCAAAGGGGGGCCCTCCATCGGTTGGCCGCCAAAATCGTTTATTGAGAAGGGAAAAAAAGAAAAAGAAAGGAGGGTTTCTCCACCGCCATCGGCGTCATCATCAGGAGTACCATCATCAGGAGTACCATCATCAGGAACACCATCATCAGGAGCACCATCATCACGAAGGTCAGCCGCCACAACATCAGAAACCCCCGCAGCAAACCTCACGCAAGGTGCAGAAAAAAGAGAGGCCTCAAAATTTTCACAAATGAAGGGAGCACACACAGCATGCACGTTGCGTTTAAATGACGAAACAAAAGCAACCAGTTTTGCATATCACCTCTTGACACACAAAAAGGACGAAACGAAACGTAAAAGACCAAGTCATGTCTACCCGAGTAAAAGCAGCCTCAGTTATAGGCTAACAAATCTTGTTCGAGTCAAACGAAATATATACTTGAGTGATAGCCACGTGAGACGTTCGCCAGGGATGGATTCCATGGGGCGAGAAGACGCGGGAGGGAGTTTTACCAGCGAGGAGGAGGAAACGCAGTCAGAAAGGGGGGTGGAAAAGAGGGAAGAAGCCTGGGGGGGTGATGAGATCGGTCAGACGGAGGACAACAAAAGTTACCAACCAACGGCCACACAGAAAGACAACCACGAAGATGCAGGCAAAATCGCGACAACCCTCTGCAAAGCTCCTGGGGAGAAGACCAAACAGACAGACCATCTGCTAACCATAAAAGTAAACATCATCACGGTGTTCCTACACAGCTCATACGTTAAAAGAATGAACATGGACGTAAGTTACAACATACAGGTGACTATTTATTGGTCCAGTGATAGGAAGACAATCGAAAAAAATTGCAGGAAGGAGACCTTCCCATGCTACTTCACATCGCACACGAGCGGCATAGGCTTAAGCTCTGACGCGTTCAAGAAGATTGACGTAAGTGTGTGGGGGGGAAGAGGCGTACATAGGAATGGAGGGGCCTGCAAATCCGTGCAGAGGTGCTTCCGTGTGAGCCTTACTTTCCCCGCACCAGGGGGGTCCCTCTACGGTGCGATGCCAAACGATATGGCAGTCGCGTAACTATCCTAGTGATTATGTTCACATGGTTTTTTACGCCTGGGCAGTATGTGTATCTAGTACATGTTCGAATGAACCCATGCAGTGTGGTGTCCTTTGAGAGAGACTCTTACATGGTTGGCCACCTGCTACTCCTTTTTTTTTTTTTTTTTTTAACTCCATTCAGGCAATGTGCGAAAGCGAGTCGAGACAGTTCTTCAAACTGGTTGTATCTTGTCGTCGGGAGAGGTCCTTCCTCAAAAAAGAGTTCATACGAATTTACAGCAGGACGTTTCAGGCGGTACGTCTAATCGGGCGCGCTAGAGAGGCGAGCACACACGTGGGGCATCCCCCTTGATGTCCCTGCCAGCGAAGTTGTATACATGTTGGCCAATTAGAATGCGACTCACGTTTGTCCCCCTCGTCATCTGCACATCTGCCTTTCATTTCTCAAACTCGTCTCCTCCTCTTCCCTACCCCATCGTTTCGCAGCCCATAGAGTTGAAAACCTACATCCTGAGTAGGAACAAGAAGTACGCCTCCGAAACGGAGAGCTCAAACGACGAGCTGTACGAGATGAATGGTAATGCGGCGTATGGGTGCGAGGGGCACATCATAGTGCACTTGTGGAGTAGCATATAGCCATTTGAGAGGGCAAGAAGTAACCCAAAGAAGAAAAATGTATAAATAAATTCACACCTATAAGTATACCCCCATATAGGAACATTTGCCCCTCTTCTTAGGTAACATCATCATGGGTACCTTGTAGGGGAATTGTTAGGAAGATCCGAGTGGGTTGCATCCTGGAGCATTGTGCTGTGTTCGCTCCTGCGGGATGTGCCCTGTTACCACCACCTACAATTAGGCTATTTTCCACAAGGAGAGATGTCTGGTACATCGCTTAAAACTTTGGGTGTAGTAAGACCTGGCAAAAATGGTGGGTAAAACGAGTCGGCTAAAAGGGTGTGTTTGAAGTTCACGCGGGGGCAAAACAGTTTCCCCTTCGTTTGCCCCGTTGCGTGGGGATCCTCCTCATATGAGCGAAGATTGCGAAGCGTTGGAGAATTTTTTTTTTTTTTTTTTTCTTCCAAACGGATATCGCAGGGAAGGATTGCACCTGCGGAATGGGTTCATCCCGATTGTGAGCCCCCTTCAGAGAAGCAAGGGCGGGACGGATGGGCGAGCTCATCAGTTAATTTGTTCGTGCGTTCGATTTGTTAGGTGTATAATATACGCATGTGTATGCACTTTTTTTTTTTTTTTTTTTTTTTTTGTTACAATGTTGTTTCAGCTATATGTTTACCGAAACTACATCAGGTGCAGTTCACTCTGAAGTACATCTTTGTTTCGTTTCCCTTTTTGCGCCATTGGCGGGTTGGCCTTGTAGAACGGGGGCGTATACCTATGCGCATGTTTGCATTCGGGTGCATACCTACATATGTGCAGTTACATACATAGACGCTAGCTAACTATGCGGGGGTATGTGCCAGCCCGTGTATGTACCAGCGTGTGTGAGCCATCTTAACTGCCTAGCAGGATACGCTCCTTAGGGGGACGCTCCTTAAGGGGATGCTTCTCCTCCTCCTTGGCACATCCCCAACAACGTGTGACGCCACAGCAGCGCTGGTGGAAAAAATGAACAAACTGAAGCTAATTAGTAAAGCAACCTTCTTTATGCACAATGCGAAAAGGAACCACCTAAATTACAAGCTATATTTGAAGTATAAACAATGGGATCTTCTTAAGAAGGAGATTGTCCACTACTTCAATTCGCATAGTAGCGTAAGCACGGTGGTGGATGTGCAGGCTAGATGTTGGGAGAAGTTTAAAAAGAAGGAGGTGCTCCAAGTGCATGGGTATATTCCCGCCATCATTTGGAAGTATGGGGCGGAGCAGCGGATTTGCATCGACCACCGGTTGATTGATGAGTACGCCTTCGAGGAGGAGGATGGCCACCTGTCTTTGCGTAATGCGCGAAAAAGAAGGAAAAGAAAGGAAAAGATAGAAAAAAAAAGGAAAAAAAAATAAAAGGAAAAGTATCGACATACTTCTTTACCAATCATGCGTGTTAGTAGCTACCGCCTTATAACTACCCTTGCCCCTCCTTCAGTGTTCTCCGCGAGGCTGTTTAGAATTCACATCGATGGGAATGTCGTGGAGTGCGTCGTGTCACATGTTGAGACGGATCCGGGTGAGTCTAAACTGGGGCTGCGCTTTGCCAGCAAGTGGGCCAATTGGCCCATTGGCGGCTACCCAGTTGCACCGCCACAGCATAACACCATGAAAGCATCCCTCTACCAGTCTGCCATTCCTGTACTCCTCCTCTAACCTGGTGTCATCCCTTCCCCTCTGAGCAGTCGAAAAGCACATATACTTCCTCAAATTCGCCAGAGTTGTTCACAACCAAGTGACCGAGTTAAACATCCCGTGTAGCATCGTCGGTCTTATCGGCTGCCCTGCGTACGTCGGTGGCTACCATGTGCAGCTAGCGATGACCTACATAAAGTGCAAAGTGATAGGGAATAATATTCCTCCCCCTTTTCAAATTGACGTGTCGAGGCTAACTTATAGAGAGCCGTACAATTCGATTAAGTTGGGAGAGTTAACGGTACGCCAGAGAGGAGTGTGTCTCGCGGGAACCTCGGTTGGAACCGACGTCTTCATGTTTGTCCCTCGTGCCGGCACTGCTCGCATGGCTAAGCATGGTAGTAAAGACAGGCAAAGTGGCCCATCTGGAAGTGGCGAGCGTGCGAACTGCCAAACTGATTAATGAACGAACCACCTCCATTATGCACCCACCTCGCAGCACCTACTGCCGAAGGATGGCAACGTAGTCTTTTCGGAGGAGTATGACTTAAATGAGACAGAAGTGGTGTGGACCTATGAGCCCGGAAAGGTCGTAGAGAAAGAGAGACACGAAAGGGGACACAATATCCCCTGAGAGCAGAAACGTTGAGGCACGAGTTTTCTGCCCCCTTTAACACGAACAAACAGACAGCGAGGCTTCTTTTGTATCTCCACAAAATGATCAATTTTTTACGTCACCAAAAATTTTGCCCCCCTCTATTGCTTTTTCCTTCTGCAGATTCCGGAGACGCCTCTACCAGAGGATTACATGGACCCGAACTTTGTGAACAAGAAGGGGAAGCGCATTCAGCTCACGTACAAGGACTACTGGCCGAAGCAGTGATGTTATGGTCAAGCGGAATGTCCAACTAGGGTCTTCATACCGCCTCGTCAAACTGTGTCGTCAAACTGGGTCCGTCTGCTCCATTTTGTGGCTTTCCCCCAATGCAACCTCACTGGAAGAAAATAATTATCGAACTGCACTTGAGGCACTTGCGATTTTTCAGAATGGCACCTGCGAAAGGAAAAGGGGCGGAAATGGGAAGAGAGGAAATTGGAGGTGCACTGGCTCTGATTTGACGGCGATAGGACCATCAGACCATAAGACCATCAGACGACCGGATGATCAGAGGACCGAACTATCGGACGATTCACCTTCCCAATTTTACCGATGCTATTCTTGCTGCCGCAGATGGAGCAGAGGATCAAAAACTTGTTCACATTCTTTTCAGAGTTGAGCTTGGATAATTGCTTCTCCAGGGTGATGATTAAATCGTGCAGGGTATTCATCTGTTGGAGGGATGGGGAGAAGCACATCCACCGGGTTGTGTAAGCATGTACGTGTAGACATATGTGTCTGGGGTGCACCTATGCATGTGAATGTGCCGTGGTTGTCCGAGTGATCACACTCCCCATCTGAGATTTTACCTGCTCTTCGTATTTTTTGTGAATATTTATCTCTTCCTCCTGGGTGAGGAATCCCAATTTCGTATGCAGAGAAATGTAAATCAAATGTTAATAAAATGTTAATCGTGGAGGGGGCCCCCCACAGATATAGTAAACTTTGGGAGAACGTACATATTTGTGAGGATGGAAAAGACGAGCAGTTTCTTTTTCGCTGCACTTTTGCGTCATGCTACGGGGAAGGGCATTACCTTCTGCGCCTCTATTTGGAGGTTCAGTTTTTGTATTTCTCCCTCTTTAAGGGTGAACCCGTTTTGTAGGCTTTCCAGAACCTGCACAGGGAAGGAGGGGAAGGGGGGGGAACTCCCATGTGGAAGAGGCCACAGTTGTGAAGAGGTTACTCGTTCAGTTATGTGTGTAGTTCTTCCAGAATGTGAATGCTTGGGGCCTCACCTCGACATGCTTCCGTATCTCCATGTGTAGGTTTTTTATACGTATGCATGAACAGACGTACGCTTCGATGAGCTGTTTTTCGTGAACTGTTAATCCAGGCTTCTCTAAATTGCTATACGAGACAAAGTTAAAGACCATTTCTGCATATTTCTTGATGCCCTCCTCGGTTGTGTCTTCCCCCACATGGTTGATGGTTTCCCGTTTGGGGGGCAAGCAGCTGATTAAGCACTGATTGTTTAGGGTCAGTTCTTTGTTGGTCAGAAGGACATTCTTAAGTTCGCCGAGAGTCTGTGACGGCGGAGAAGGGGTATAGGAGGGGTGTAAAAGCGGCGTAGAGGCGGTGTAGGAACAGTGCAACCGTGGCATACACGTCATGTGCAACGTGGGAGTGCCCATCCTCTGCGCCCAACCTGGTTACAATTCCTCTTCAACTTTTTGATTAACTTGGTTTTCCGCAAAAGGGCCTTATTCAGCTGGTCCTTGTCCTTCTTGCACATTTGGAGGTTCCCGAAGCTGCTTTCCAACACGGCGTAAGGGATATGCCTGGTTTGAATAAACGCCTCGTTGATCCTATTTAGGCAATTTCTCTCCTCTTCGAACGCCATTCGAGTGTTAAATCTTTGGTAAGACAGGAAAGCAATTAAGGGGAGCGACTTCTTCTCCACAACATCGAACGTTTGAAGATAATTAATGAGCGACTCCGTTGCGTCTAACATTTCTGTCATCACCCTGGAGTTGTCTACATGGAGAACATCAGATCCTTTCATCTCAAAAATGCGAAAGGAGAAGTAGGACTTTAAAAATTTTAAGGCGTGACAAAAGTCTTCTAACAGGCTGTGAAATTTTTTCCCCAAGTAGGTAATCAATTTTTTATTTTCTTCTGAGCAGTTTTTTAAATGTTCATATGTTGAGAGAGAGTTTTTTTCTCTTTCTTCCAGCAATTCTTTAAAATGAATTCCTCTTAACTTTACCATTTGATCACTCTTAACAGTGTCGTCTTCGCTGTCAGGGAGACTAGTGTCTGCTTCTTCGTAGTTCGCCTCCACATGGTACTGCTCTCCCTTTTTTCCGCTTTCTGCTTCTCCTTCTGCAGTTTCGTCGACCCACTTAACGACATTTCTCTTTTTAAAGTGCTCTTCCACTATCTTCTCATTTTCGTATGGAGTTACAAACAAGAGGAGCGCAAAAAAGTGGATGGCTTTGAGAAGAAGCCTCTTCAATCTCTTCAGTTCTCGAGCGACATTTTTGAGTGAAAAGGATTTCGATGTCGTGTACGTTGGAAAAAGGTATTCTTCGACACAGAGGTAGACGCTCACGTTTAGGAATATCTTCTTTACGGTGGTGGCCAGGTTGCGCAGAAGGGCCTGCCAGGGGGAGAAGTGCACATGGTGAGGGGGGAGAAATGCACACAGTGGGAGAGAAGCCCAAATGGGGGGATGACGACCCCGTTGGAAGAATTACCTGAACGTGTACCTTGTCTTTGCTCCCATGCAGACACGTCCGGAGATCGTCTAACAGATTGATCGCTTCCTCTAGGCAGCTCACTTCCTTCGAAGGGTGACCAAAACGGTTGGAAGATGTACACATGGAGTAGAAATCAGTACGGTTGGGAGAAGTCCCCCCCATGATGCAAACTCTCAGGTGGCGGGGTACTAGACAATGATGTATTACCTTTTGGGAAATCCTCTTTAGGTCCGCAACTCTAGAATAGTCCAACTGGTCATCCTTCTTCTCTCCCTTCTGTTCTCCCTCCGTTTTGTGACAAAAATCGATTAACTGGTTTGCTTGAGACGCAAAAGTATTTTTGCAGCTCAGAAGGTATTGTTGCAACTTTTGTATTGCATTTAGGATGTGGCTTTGGAGTAACTTGCAATGCTCGTTGATTTGGCGCTGAACGGGGGAATGGGGGGGGATCAATTGGAAAATGGGGCCAGTTGGAAAATGTGACACGTGGGAGACAGGGATGAAGCTTTTTAGCAAAGAGTCCAACTGGGGTGTGTGCAACTGATTGCTCGTCTGCACGCTCTTCCCACCTGCAGGTAACCATCATAATGATCGGGTCTCGCCGAAAGCGGGATTCTATTAAAATTGACTTTATACTTTGGATAGCATTTTCTCCTCATGGATTTGTATATTTTCTCCATTTTCTTTATGTGTTCATTTTTGTTTTCTATGACACGGGCAAAATTTCCTTTGTCCTCTTCGAGCTGTTGCCTCATTTCGTCTCTTTCCTGTTCCAGCCTGATAACACTTCTGCTTGAGTTGGTAATAATTTCGTTAAGACTGTCAATGGTTCTTTCTCTTTCGTTTAATTTGTCCTTGTGGAAGGTCCTACACGCGTCCAGCTCCTCCTCTATTTTTTTATTCTCATTCTGGAGGTCTTCCACTTTTTTGTGCAGCATCTCTGAAGAGGGGAGGAAGGGTGCATCGAAAGAAGGGGTGTTCGTCTCTGTGCTGGCATCTGGAGAGTAGGTACCAGGCACGCATCTCACTAGGACATCACTCGGACGCCACTCACACCTCATTCGGACGCGATTCACACTCCACTCGCAATCGTGTTCATGGTTCCACTAGCGCGGTTCGAACCATTTTCCTTTATTTTATTTTCGAGCTCCTCGAACGCGACGGATTCTTCGATGTTTTCCCGTGAGTTTTTTGGAAGCAGCATTAAGTTCCGCCACCCGGAGTTGCCCTTCTTCTGCGATTAGGGCGGCGTAAAGACATGGAATGAGGAAGCTGGAGGGGCGCCTTCCCCATGACATCCTTGCATTGCACTCAATGCTAACAATAGCGCTTCAGGCAGCACATGGCAAAACGGTGTAATTGCCAAACGGTGTAATCGCGCGTGCTGGCTTTCCCCTACCTTATCCTCCAGAGAACTCGCCAGCTGCGCTACTTTGCTGGACAGCTGGCTGTTGCTACTCAACAAGTCGTTGTTCTCATCCACCATGCGGCTAATTTTATCTTTCTGTTCTTCATTATCTTTTTCCAGTTGCTTAATGTCCTTTTTGTACTCCACTATGGCCTTCTTGAGGATGTCTAAATGAGCAAAAAGGGGAGTAGCAAACGTGGGGAGAAACCAAATCATAACCCTCGACAGAGAGCGGAGGGACAACCGGTTGGCTTCCGCATAGCATGGTAGAACAACAGGCATTACCATTTTGCTCCTTTATCTCTTTATATTTTTCCTTAAATAGTTTGTATTTCTCCTCCACGTTCATTTTTAAGATGGCCAGGGCCACAAAAGTTCGAACTTCACAGAGTTAATGAGGAGGCAGGGGCACTCCAAATGGGCAGTTACATGCGTAGTGAGTCATTAAAAAGGGCGCGGTTACAGGGGGTACTCAAAAGTGGGGGCATGTTCAAAGGGGGAAAGAAAAAGAAACAAAAAGAAACAAAACCACAACTTAACAACTTAGTAACTTCACAATTTAGCAGCTTCGCAATTTCACAAAACTGTGACAAATGGAAAATTAACAACTTCGGCAGTTCATAGTTAACACAAAAAAAAAAAAAAAAAGAGAAAGTAAAAAATTAGCAAAGGGGTGCGAACAGTTTACACATTTGCAGGGCTAACAGGGGTGTCACAATTTTCTGTTCACAGTTGAGCATACGTGTAGTACATTTTGCCGCTGACTTTTTTGCAACTGTGCAACGTTGCAATTTTGAAATTTTCCGTTTTGAAATTTCCAGTTTGAAAATAGTCAGTTTTGAAATTTCCAGCTTTGTGATTTCCAAATTTTTCGATTTCCTAACTCTGTCATTTTTTTTTTTTGCCCCTTGAGAACTGGGGGTGAACATAAACACATGAAGAAAAAAAAAACACGAGCAAGGCGTCCTCGTGAAGCGTATGCCGTGGTGTATGCACACGTGTAACCACGCGCGAGGAGCCCGCCATGGAAGTAACCTTACCAAACAGTCGCTACGTTCCCCACCACATAAGAAGAGCCATTTGCAATGACATGCCTCCATTTTTATTAATCCCGCGTTGGCTATTTTTTTCCCTTCCCGAGATGTGTACTCCGTGCACATTTAACCCATTCATGTAGACACCTACGCATGTGCACAGATAACTTTGCGGCCTCTCCTTTTTTGTTTCACTTTTCAACCCTCAAGTAGTACGTGTCCCAGTTGGTTTGTCTGGATGTCCCCTTACACACCATCCTCTTAATAGGAATGTACTCGACGTTTTTGTATTTCATCACATACTTTCTGTTTTCGTAGTAGAAATCTTTGGCCGAATCAGGATACGGTTTCAAGGTGTAGTTAATGTTTGGAGGGTATGGAGACGCGTAAGTAAACGTGTTACTGGACGTTCTGATCAGCTCGTATTCATTCGATTTGGTCTTTTTATTTGGAAGTCTTCTGAAGTTGTTTCCGTAATAGTTCATTTTGTAGAGGTCACTATAGGGGTCGTTTATTTTCCGGTTTATGTTGTTTATGTTTTTCTTTCTTGAATAGTGTCGATAGTTTCTTTTGAAATTTAGCATGAAATAATTCCTCATCGTTTTGAACATCTTATCCTTTTGGTTAGTTAAATGGGTAGGTCGGGCTCTTTATCGTGCTCTCCTTTATGAGTCCTCTGCCTGGGAGTTTCTTTTTTTTTTTCTTCCCCTTCTATGTGTTATTCGAAGTTGCCTTGGTTTCCTTCCCCCTTTGTGTTTTTGGTACCTCCAATTTGGCGGAAGGAAAAAGAGAATTTTCGAACCAATTTTATGTCACACGACAGGCCCAACCTTTTTTAAATACCGCGTTTTCGCTTTTTCTGGAAGTTTCATTCTTCACGCTTTCCTTTAAATATTGTGTCCCTCATAGGGGA